ACACCACCGACGTTTAACTATCAAAAAGGTTCCTTTCCTCGCTTTAAATCCTCACCGACACGAAATATTTTTCTTAATAATTAACAAGTACCAAGGCATTGGAAAATACCAAGGCATTGGAAAATATTGAAAAATACAAGAAAAAAATGTAATCTGAAAACTGATACAGCGGTACCAGCCTCTCAAAAAAAGTCTCCCTCTCAGGAGGTACTGAAACTAAGCTTTACTACACACAGCTTGCCGGGCGTTAACAAGGGGGAAGAGGAACGCCCAAAGAGGGAAAGAAATGGGGGAGGAGGAGGAGGAAGAATAGCCACCCTTGGGAAAAGAGCTGGGAAGGGTGACAGTTACCCTGCAGGAGAGGATGGGGAAGGGGTCCACTACCTCGGGGAAGGGATGGGGATGGGGTGACATTCCTCTTTGACGGCGGCAGGGGAAGGCGAAAGGGAAATATCCACCCAGGGGGGGAGGAGAGGGTGAGGGGGGGGGGTGACAGCCATAGTTGGAGATTGGAAAGAAGAGGGTGGCAGCCACATTGCAGGAAGGGAGCACTATAGCAGGACACGCATTGGCGGCGCAGGACAAGGACGTCGTCAAACACCAAATAATAAATCAAACCCCTATAATCATCCCTCCTAAAGCCGAGCGTATAAATCTCACACTTCTCGTAAATCCCTTACAACTCTCAGGTAGACTGCGAGTCCGTGGAGTTGTAAGAGGTGGAAGATTAGCAGGAGGAGAGGAAGAAAGTAAAAAGAGGCAAAAGAGGAGAAAGAGGAAGAGGAGGAATAAAAAGAGGAGGAAGAGATAAAGAGGAGGAAAATAATAAGAGGAGGCACAAGAGGAAGAGGAAGATAGGAAGAGGAAGATAGGAAGAGGAGGCATAAGAGAAGGCACAAGAGGAGGAGGAAGAGGAGAGAAAACAGGGGAGATTAGAGGAAGCGAGAGCAGGGGGGGACGAGAGCGAGGGCCGGCCCGGGGATCCCCCACAGCGGCGCGGGAGGTGCTGTGGTAGGTTCAGGCCGCGCGGATAAATTACAAGTGTTCCTGCCCAAATACGTAATATAAAAACGGCGCAGCAGGGTGACGCCCTTCTAAAAAGGGGTTAACTGTTAATGCAAATTAGAGAAGGACAGCGTGGCAGAACTAATCCTGCGATACCCGCTAATCCTTGCACCTTGCAATCGGGATCAACACACCATTCACCTTACTATGAGAGCTATGAATGGGTGCACTGAGGATGCCGATGCTAGATGTGTACGCATGGAGAGAAAATTACTACAGTGTTTGTGCTGCATATGAAGCATTAGCTGAAGAAGACTTACAAGGGAGAATGAGAGCAAGAAAAGATGTGTGCATGTGCGCGTTTATACTATGTACGAGAGAGAGGGAGGAATAAAAAGTGTGTGATTGTGAGTGTGATATTGTGTGTGTGTGATATTGTGTGTGTGTGTGTGTGTGTGTGTGTGTGTGTGTGTGTGTGTGAGAACGTGTGCGTTATTATTAGTATTAGTATTAGTGAATGTGAGTGTGTGTGGGGGGGGGGGGAGGGTTAAGGGAGTGAGATTAAGAATGTATCCTTGAATACACTGTGTGCGTTTCATACCGGATGTACTAAAACGCAACCTAACTATGCACGCTCCTCGAACGTGCGAGTAAAACCACTATTCTCACCGGTGCGCGTCGAGAAGTGTCAGGTAGATGGACTTAAAAAAAAGAGGGGGTAAATGCCCTACAGTGGGGCATTCCGGCTCCCGTCACCTGCTGCCCCTCCCCCTCCCCCTCCCCCCTCGCCCGCCCCTTCCTCTTCCATCTAATCGGCCATCAACGCCCATCGCCTCTCACGCCCGCACTCAAGCCTAATCACGCCTCTTCATCGCCTCCGTCCCACCTGTCTCTCGCTGTCACCACCTCCCCCCCCCTCGTGAGCGCATCTGCCTTTCTCTTCTCCCTGAAATTCACTCTTCTTCATCTCTCCCTCCTTTTCTTTTTTCTCTCTTTCCTTCTTTCTCTTTCCAATGCCTTATTGCGGCGATATAGGCCATTATCTCATCACAACGAAGACCCCATTATCGCCATTGAAGTACTATAATGACTACCCTTTTTTTTCTTCAGCAAAAAAAAGCCCCATCACTGCTAAATCATCGTTACGCCATTAGCTGACCTCGCGCAAAAAAAAGGAAAAAAAGGGGGGAAAAAAAATATATATAAAAAATACTCCTGTCAGGGGAGCAATGCTTCCGACGCCGATTAAAAATTTGTTTGTTTGTCACGCCGCAGGATTACGCGAAAGCTGCTGACAGATTGTGATGAGCTTTTATGGGTGAGTTGGCCATGACCCAGGGATCAGCGTATTAGACACTGGTGAGATCCGATCGGCGTCCAGATCCAAGATGATTGAAAGGGATTCGACGGCGATGTGAACTGTCATAGAACACGGGCCTATCAGCTGGAGAAGGTTCATGAATTTTAATTTTTATTGTGGTAACTTTATGAATATGGAACTAGGCATTTTCTTTTGGCTCCATCTTTCTCTTTTAACAAACAAACACACACGATATTTATCACCTGAGGAGGTTTGCGCTCTCAGCGATTTCTAATTAAAGTATGTGATAGAATCAGAAAATAAACACACCCTGTCACTGGATCCCCCGCCGACGGACGGCAAGAGACACGCGCTGAAAGCCTCGTTAAGATTATACACGGAGTGAAATACGGTGAGTGGCGGTGACGACGGCGTGAGCGATTGTGCGAATCACTCTACCTGGTAATCGTTTCACAATTAATTTCCGATCTTCCGAGCCTGTTCCTTAAATTCGATTCGTTTCTCACCTTTCCTTCCTAAATGAAAGATATTTTTTAGGATACTGAAGTCATAAGATAAAAAAAATACATGCACAAAATCATATTATCATGTCAGTCGCATTATCGCATAGTTTTATCTATGTATGTAAATCGTCTTGAAGTGCGAGAGAAAAAAATCAAATATTTCTCTTTTCCCTCCAAAGACCGAAAAGTTCGCGCGAAGACAAAGAAGAAATATTCAAGTAGCTAGGATAAATTTCCATTTTACGACACCATCAACGAATAATAAAATCAAATTACATGGAAACCCATGCAAACTTTGTACGTTCACAACACAAAACTATATCCACAAATGCGACTCTGTATCGAATATATGCATTAGATTTCCGCAAAGTTTATTTTCAAATATTGTGTTGGGAGTTTAGAAAATCATAATATTTACATGATGAAATACAGACTACAGAATAAACTCATTAGAATTACACTGTCATTTCACTTTTTGCACCACGTACAAAAGTCCTGCAACAGCCAGCTAGACCCATTTCTTTTAAACACACCTCTGATGCAACAGCCCCACCATACCAAACACAAATCGTGTGAAGGCCCCGTTAGCCCGCCCGCCGTCCGAACGTTATGGGAAATGCTTCGCTGATAGCACGCGCCGCGCGGAAGTCGCTGGCCCATCGCACGCACCACCCTGATGCCTTGATAACGTAGGTAAATCAATATCAGCGGACGGTTACTCTCGCAGACATGCTGTCATCTCCGGGGACTCTGCGGTCGCGTCCAGCACCTGCCGCGCACTTAATTACACTCATGAGCGAAGCGGCCTTGACGGCGCAGTGCGTGAGGACGACGCGTCGGCGGGTCTTTGCGACTGTCATGGTATGGGCTAAGCATTCCCGCCCATCCGCGCCCCTTTCACCTTTCCCCTCTCTCTCTCTCTCTCTCTCTCTCTCTCTCTCTCTCTCTCTCTCTCTCTCTCTCTCTCTCTCTCTCTCTCTCTCTCTCTCTCTCTCCGTCTGCCTGTCTGTCTCTCTCTCTCTGTCTGCTTGTCTGTCTCTCTCTCCGTCTGTCTGTCTGCGCTCCCGGAAAGCCGTCAGGCATTTGTCGGTAAATAAAAAATCTACCGAATTGCTCAACACTCGTTAAAGAGCATTAGCAATAGTTTCCCATCACGCGTTATTGTTTACCCTTGAGGAAGACACGCAAGAACTAGAGGGCGGGACGGAGAAGGGGGAAAGGGAAGCAAAGGGGGGGCGGGGAAGCAAAAGGGGGGAGGGGAGGGGGGCAGGGGGAGAGGAGAGACGTGAGAGGGGAGCAAGAGAGTAAAGAAGGGACTAAAGGACTAAGGGGCGTGGGGAGACATTCCCCTTTCTAATCTCAAAGGAAGACGAAAGAAAAAAATCTGCCGCAAAACAATGCCAGGAAAAAGTACCCTGGAAAGGTTATTTACATCTCCCTTCTCCTCCTCTTGCTTATTTGGTCAAGAGCCAACACCCTTTGTCACTGGCCGAGGAGCGTGGGGGAGGAGGACTGGTGGGGCGGGGAGGGGGGGGGAGAGGAACAAGGCGGAGGATGAGATGGATATGAAAGAGGAAGAATGGGATGGGTGAAGGGAGGGGAGGAGACAAGGGAAAAGAGTGGGGTGGGGAGGAACTACGGGCGGGGGGGGGGGGGAGATGGAGAGAAGGGAAGAGGAAAGGGGGAGGAGCAAGAATGACTTCTCAGATAATTAGCTTCGGAGACCCATTACCGTGCCTCCGCCCCCTCATAAACCCACTCCCACCAATACCCATCACCTCATTAGCTGATAGCAATCTCCCCTCCTCACGATAAAAACGTAAAAAAAAAAAGGGTAAACGTCAGACACCTTTACACTGCGAGTGCCCAAGTGTCCTATGGTAAACCCGGCTCGTATCCTAGTGTCCCTGTCGTGGTCACCCACACCGAGGGAACGGCCATCTGGTGTCCTAATGAGTTACAGGATGTTCAGCCTTGTTTCCGCACTGTCCCAGGATACAGGGTCTCCCCGGTGCCAATCAGGCGTGTCACCGCCGATAACACCGCACGCAGGCCTAATCATGAAAAAAACATTCGTGGTCTCCTCCCTCCTACTTATGTAACATCTCCATAGTTTCTGAATATTTGGAATACTAACTGAAAAAAGTCACACTGACTGAAGTGCCGTTACTAGTCATGCATACTGACCATGTATCCTAAGGGGTATTTATCAAGTGTTTAAAGAGAGTGGGGAAAGGAACAGGAAGAGGAAGAGGAAGGAGGGGGAGGAAGGAGAGGAAGAAGAAAAAGAAGAAGAGGAGGAGGAGGAGGAGGAGGAGGAAATTAACAAGGAGGAGGAGGAAAAGAACAAGGAGGAGGGGGAGGTGGGAGAGGAGGAAGATGTGGAAAAGGAGAAGAGGAGGGTTGGCTCATAAGGAAATGGAAAGGGGGAGGTAGTGAGGGTGGGACAGATAAGGAAGATGAAGATGATGATGATAATAATAATGACAAAACCAACAATAACAAAATAGCAGTAATAATAATAATAATAATATAATAATAATAATAATAACTTTACAATACTGAATGCGTAGCGGGAAATAAGAAGAGGATGGAGGAGTGGAAAGAGACGGGACGAGAATAAGGGATGGTAGGTAAACGCAAGAAAGGTAGAGATAGAGGGAGGGAAAGGAGAGAAAGGGAGGGAAAGAGATGGAGAGAATGAGAGAAAGAGGAAGAAATAATCACAGAAAGAAGAGAGTGAGGGAGGAAGGAATGGGAAGGGAAGGAAGGGATTAAGGAATGGTGGGATAATGCGCGAGAGAGAGCGAGAGCGAGAGAGAGAGAGAGAGAGAGAGAATAGGAGAGAGAGAGAGAGAGAGAGAATAGGTGAGAGAGAGGAGGAAAATAAATGTCTATAACTATCAAGAAAAGTAGGTGGCAAGTCTACCCTCCACCCCCCCAGCGCCGCCATTCATAATCGGGTCACGGCATTCTAGCTTCCATGAATGAGACGTGCGCGAGAGAGTAGGCCGAGACACTCGCTAGGAGGGGCAAGTTCCGGTCACTAATAATCTCAAGGAAGACTCGCCCTTCCTGTCCTTTTGAACTTGGGGGAAACTAGGACTCGACCTAAGAACAAATAAACGGACAAATCTTTGATCTCCCTTTGCGGGAAGAAAACGTTGAGAGGCTCTGAGTTTTAACAAGTGTTTACATCCCCCCTCCCCACCCCACCCAAGACATCTCATCAGGGCCTTAGGGCTGCAATCACTTCCATTCAGAAAACATTCACTTCCAGTCATTTCGTAGAAGCGGGCCTCCTTTGTATGGAAAAAGTTTGGGGCAAAGGAGACACCACGAGGAGCCTCTTTTTCATCGCCTTCCCTTCTGCTGTCTCCTACACGCCGAGCCTCCGTCGCTATGAAACACCTGCCTGCATGTAGCTCTCCAGCAAACACCACCTTGCTGATAGCGTTATCAAGATAAGTCCCATTGTTCTTTGCATACGCATAAGCTGAGCCAAGTATCCGGCCTGCCACGCACTCTCAAGGCCGCTCCACCCTTCTCACACGCAACAAACAAGCGCCCTTTTGTTTGACAGAGCGATGAATCGTTTCGCAATGTGACTGACGAGTGTAATAATGGCTAAAGCTGTCCGCGCCGTGACGGGGACGCGCCGGAGCGAGAATTCATTGATGGGGCCTTCGCAGTGTGGCAACGACGACGCCCCGTTCTCAAGAAGGGACTTTCACGCCTCACTGCAACACGACGTCTACCATATTCAATCAGGTCTTTTCATATGGAGATTCTAATTAGACGCCTCTGGAAATTAACAGCTTAAAAAAAACACAACACGAATAGGCAGCACGTTAGAAAAAAACAACAACGTGAAACATTAATGATCAGTAAGCAAAACACACTCCCTCCCGTCCTTTGCCGAAAGGTGGAGCGCGTGCCAACGTAAATGCCCTTCCTTAGCTAACCTACAACCTAAATAAATATAAGACACGGGTACATGCCTTTAGTGTTGCCGCCCTCCGACTCCACGAAATACTGCAAGGGCGGCCGTGAACAGCCTTGGGTGGGCGAAGGCGACCCGACACGCCCATAGGTAAGGGCGTTTTTGGATCAGAAATGCGAGGTCTCTAGACTTTTTTGCGATCAGAATAATGAGAACTATAGGGAGGGAGGGAGGGAGGGAGGGAGGGAGGAATCTTTGATCTCCCTTTGCGGGAAGAAAAACGTTGAGAGGCTCTGAGTTTTAACAAGTGTTTACATCCCCCCTCCCCACCCCACCCAAGACATCTCATCAGGGCCTTAGGGCTGCAATCACTTCCATTCAGAAAACATTCACTTCCAGTCATTTCGTAGAAGCGGGCCTCCTTTGGATGGAAAAAGTTTGGGGCAAAGGAGACACCACGAGGAGCCTCGTTTTCATCGCCTTCCCTTCTGCTGTCTCCTACACGCTGAGCCTCCGTCGCTATGAAACACCTGCCTGCATGTAGCTCTCCAGCAAACACCACCTTGCTGATAGCGTTATCAAGATAAGTCCCATTGTTCTTTGCATACGCATAATCTGAGCCAAGTATCCGGCCTGCCACGCACTCTCAAGGCCGCTCCACCCTTCTCACACGCAACAAACAAGCGCCCTTTTGTTTGACAGAGCGATGAATCGTTTCGCAATGTGACTGACGAGTGTAATAATGGCTAAAGCTGTCCGCGCCGTGACGGGGACGCGCCGGAGCGAGAATTCATTGATGGGGCCTTCGCAGTGTGGCAACGACGACGCCCCGTTCTCAAGAAGGGACTTTCACGCCTCACTGCAACACGACGTCTACCATATTCAATCAAGTCTTTTCATATGGAGATTCTAATTAGACGCCTCTGGAAATTAACAGCTTAAAAAAACAACACGAATAGGCAGCACGTAAGAAAAAAAACAACAACGTGAAACATTAATGATCAGTAAGCAAAACACACTCCCTCCCGTCCTTTGCCGAAAGGTGGAGCGCGTGCCAACGTAAATGCCCTTCCTTAGCTAACCTACAACCTAAATAAATATAAGACACGGGTACATGCCTTTAGTGTTGCCGCCCTCCGACTCCACGAAATACTGCAAGGGCGGCCGTGAACAGCCTTGGGTGGGCGAAGGCGACCCGACACGCCCATAGGTAAGGGCGTTTTTGGATCAGAAATGCGAGGTCTCTAGACTTTTTTGCGATCAGAATAATGAGAACTATAGGGAGGGAGGGCAGGGAGGGAGGGAGGGAGGGAGGGAGAGAGAGAGAGAGAGAGGCAGAGGGAGAAAGGGAGAAAGAGAGGAAGAGAGGAAGAGAGGAAGAGAGGAAGAGGGAGGGGAGGGGAGAGAGAGGGAGAGAGAGGGAGAAGGGAGGGAGAAGGGAGGGAGAGAGAGGGAGAAGGGAGGGAGGGAGGGCGAGAGAGGGTATTCAAAACTGAACTTAACCGTGAACACCCAAACGTAAGAGTTCAATCGCATTAAAACCACGCCCCAAAATATCAAGCCAAACTCCTCCAAGGACAAACGCGGAATTATGCAACCCTCTCTTCCTTTACGCACCGTCCTGAGCATCAACTAAACCAACATCATTCAAACCAAAAACCTAAATCAAAACGAAAATTACAGTGGAAAAAATACGATAAAAGGCAATAAAGACGATGCCAAAGCTGTACTTACTAGGATGTAGGACTTTTTGAGCTTTGGAGTGGGAGGCGCAGAAGGAGCTATACAACTTGAACTGGCTGGCATAGTAGAGGAAAGCACTGCCAATGGAGAACAGCACATTCTGTCGGGGAGAGGAAACAATGAAAGGCGTTAAGCAAATCAACAATAAAATAGCACGCAGGGAAAGTCTAAAACGCGTGACAAGTGCAACCGCGTCTGAGACAAAGAGAGGCATGACGCTGCAGGAGTACAAAGTCACTGTACACTCTACACTATACAGCCCACTGAGCACACCACACCACAGCCTCACCTCGCTTGTCTCAAAAAACGGATATGTACTTTCGACGCCTTCTATCACTTTGTAAATTCGCATTCCATCCGAACCGCAGGTAAAATTTGGTCAAACCTTACCAGAGCAAAAACTTTTCACGCACGAAATGTTGGAAAATGTTGAATGTATCAATGTTGAATGTTGAATGTATTAATAAACAAATAAGTAAATATATAGATACAAAATACCGTTAGAGTTTAAAATAAATACGCAAATATGAAAATACAAAATTCCTAAGACCTTATGATGAAAAAATATATAAATATCCTTTGACCTCAAGGTCTTGTAGAGTGAATATTATCCTACTGCATGTCCACGAGGACAGTCTGTTCTTTGTATTTAAATTAAAATCATTAACCGAAACATATCTTATATTTTCACAAAAGGTTTCAGGAAAAAAAACTCGGGAAAACAGTTGAGCAAAAAATGTAAACTGAAAATTCAGTAAAGTGACGGTTCACACTCTTGATAATAATCATTCCAGAATATGCAACGTCCTTGGATATGAACGTCAGTTACTGCAATCCGATGTCGCCTTGCAAAAGTAGCTTCATAAACATGACCAATGATTGTATAATCTGATATACGGAAAAAAAGTTTTTTTTTAATGAATGCTGGCTAAAAACTGAAAATGCTGGTTTAGTGCAAAACAACAATAAAACATGCACATGAAAGAACCAGCCCTCAAAGGTCCAAAAGTTAGAACGGAACAAAACAAAGAGTTCGGCCTTTCAGCCCTGCACACAGGAGCCGCGGTTCATTTTCGCGTGTAAACTCAATGAACAAAGTCCAGCACGTGGCCGACGGAACAAGCAAGCGCTGGCGTGCGGTTCCCCGAGACAAAGACCGCTCACTACAACAAAACCGGCATCAGACCGAAACGCAAACGGCGGCGACACTGCACCGTGACTCACCTTAAACTCGTAGGGCTGGTCGAACTTGGAGAAGCCGGGCTCCATGTCGAGCGCCTCCTGAAGGGCCTGCAGGAACAGCCTCTGGAAGGCCACGATCTCCCGGATGTTGCCGAAGAGCGCATTGACTTCGGCCGAACTCAGGAACGATGCACTCTTCAGGGGCTCCAGGTAATTCTCCAAGAGGTTGTTCAGGTGCTGCAACGGGACACAGGGAGAGATGACGCAGGTGCCTTCGTGTATACAACAGAGGTGGGTGATGATGATGATGATGATGATGAAACTATAAGGTGTGAACAACGTGTGAGCACAATAAACACGCGTTGAACGTCTTTGACACGGGTGTTATACTCAATTATCGTACCGGGTTAAATGTGATATGGGAACAGTATATATGAGATATATAATTTAACTAGTGTAAGAGATAAAAGACCATCTTATAAATGGTACATAACAAAGTAAAGAACACTATACGTGAAAGGCAAGAAGGCCATTCTAGTCTCCAGAAAAGAACGAAATCTAAGCAATACTTTTAAAAGACAGGCCAATTAAAGCATGAAGAACACAGGTTATAGTTGGAGAAGCAAAAGAGCCGCAGGCTGTACGTGTGTGGGTGGCGAGTCGCATGTTTGAATTCCCTGGCTTACAGACCTTATGCAAAATCACGTCCAACCGATACAATATGGATCATACATCTGATTCGAATGATAAAGACCTAGAAAAAGACATCAGTAATATTATTGATAAAGCGAACGGTCCTTGACTGGCCGAGACCTGGTTTCAAGCGCGTGCACCGGGTACACAACAGCTGAAAACATCATGCACTATGGATGTTCCACTTTTCCAAACAGACAATTGGCACTTAAGGCAATGTGTTAGACGGGTTATTTCCCCCGAGATACGTGTCTCAGTTTACAAGAGATTAGAGGAGATAACTCTCGCTCGTGCTTGCCATCCTCCACACACACACTAAAATACTCTCACATAAACACATGCACAGATCAACAAATAGACACTCCTATAAAGACGTACGCACACGCACGTACGCATACATGCACACACATACACACACACACACACACGCACACAAACATATGATGGAACTTATACGTACACAATTACAAGGCTAGAGGGCGTCAGGAAGGAATCGTACGAGATCAAGAAGGCCGCAGAGGGGAGGTGGGGGAGGGAGAGAGAGAGGGAGGGAGGGAGAGAGAGAGGGGGAGAGGGGGAGAGGGGAGAGAGAGGAGAGAGAGAGAGAGAGAGAGAGGAGAGAGAGAGAGAGAGAGAGAGAGAGAGAGAGAGAGAGAGAGAGAGAGAGAGAGAGAGAGAGAGAGAGAGAGAGAGAGGGGGGGGGATGGATGGATGGAAGGAAGGAGGGGGGGAGGGGGGGAGGGAGGGAGGGAGGGAGGGGGAGGGAGGGGGGGAGAGAGAGAGAGAGAGAGAGAGAGAGAGAGAGAGAGAGAGAGAGAGAGAGAGAGAGAGAGAGAGAGAGAGAGAGAGAGAGAGAGAGACTCACACTCGCCCATACGCACACACACAAACAAACACACCCCGCTTGCTTAGGGGCGCGCTCGCTGTTCCGCCGGTCTTGACCCCCGATCGAAAATGCAAGTCCCACTCTCGCTTCTTGCCGAGATCCCCGCAAGGTTGGCCATCAAACCGTGCCCTCAAGTCAGCATATTTACAAGGGCGCGCGAGTTTCCTTTTAATTGCTCGAACGATTTTTGCCATTTTTTTTCTTCCTTTCTTTTTTTTTGCTAAATATGGAAGCAAGTATTTCGCTCTTCCTCAGTTCATCGTTCACCTTGCCGCTGATTCTTACTGCCATTACCGCGTGCCAGGGAAACTCTCTCCCAACCTCTATTCTCAACTTCCTGTAATCAATGCCTGGTTTTTCCATTTCAAGGTCTATTGATACGCAAGAACGTTTCCTAAAATTAAAAGTCAACTATAATGGTTCTTGACTTTCAGCGCTATGAACTTGAACCTATTTCGTAAGTGGCTTATATATATTTCCTTAGTTTGTGTGATACAGGGTCAAATCACTTACATGCAAGCGTAGACACACGAACATTATGCATAGAGCAGAACCAACAGTTTTGACACGTGGTATATAGAATAATAAATAAAGTCTACTGACTGCAGCGAAGAGAAGGCTAACAGTATCTTTAGAATCCCTCAGCCCCCACGGCCAGAAAAAAAAATAATCTTACGAAGGGAAAAGCAAGAATAACTTCGCTACACAACCGCCTCGGCGAAAGAAAAAGGGAGGCGGAAATATCGCACAAAAAAGAGCACAGTACGTTGAGGTTCTCACGCAAAGAACCTCGCTAATGTAAAGAGAACAGAGCATGGCATCTGCTCAAGTCATAGCTAGACATTCTTGGTACCCCGCCCCCCCACTGCCTTGGTTTACTGCATGTTTCGCTCCTCCCCCTCGCCATTTGTCACACTTACAGACATCCGAAACAGGTCAAATCGTTGTCCGGAATGTACCGTCTCGGGTTACCGGAGCCAGGTCACATTAGGGCAGGCGGGCGCACAAAGAAAGCAGACAGGCGCCCTGTTATTTATCTACACACAAAGGGAATGCTATGCCCGTTTAACTCTGCCTTCATTTCGGGTAATTCATTTCGAGGGTTTCCTTTCCCTTGTAGCAGACGGGCTGGGAGATGAGGTGTGGTTTCCGTTACCAGGGTTCTCTGTGCAACGTTTCATTAACAGGAGTGGTCATGGGAAAAGAGTGCACAACAACGTGGTGTGAGATGTTAAACGCAAGAAAAACAATTTATGAAAGAAAGGTTTGTAACTTGCGGTAAGTGCTAACTGTTATTTAACAACCAATTTAGTTTTATTTAAAAAACAAGAGCTTTTCTTTAAAACAGTCTTAAAAAACATCCAAGTTAACATTCCTTTTGAACTGGCGCGATGTGGTATCCAGATAAGGCTTTGCATGAGGGAGTATTTGCATGACAAATACCCGAGCTTTACTCCGGTGACAATCTAACTTTTGAAGTGCTCTTTACGATACCAGACCTCAATCGATTCCTTTTGTTAATCGTACACCTCTCCCCCCCCACAATTCAACCGGTAAATTACACAACACCCCAGCCTTTTCATGGGCTTTCTAAGTGTGTTACAAATGGTTGACTGTATGACTGTTGGCAGGAACGTTCCATCATACAGTCACGGCTACAGTTGCCTCACCGCGACGCCTTCAGCCGCCAGTCGTCTCACTCTCTCCATAAACCCTGGATTTCATCCGCATCAATAATTAGTGTCATTTTCATGGATGCATAAGTGTATAAACTGCGCATTCATAAATGTGTGTCCTAGTGGGTGATTGAGTGAGAGTGAATTAGTGAGCATGTGTGTGTCCGCGCGTACGTCCGTGTGTATCTTCTAGCGCTCGCAGATTAATCAGCTCCCTAACAGCAGACCTTAATCTATTCCCACACTCACATCTACTATCACTCACCTTCACTTGCTCACGAGGGTTAACACTACGTAAGATCACGTAAGACTCACACGGGAACGGCAGAATGCGCCCAAGATGTCGCTCAGGACGCAACACTCGTCACTCTCACGCATGATGCAACAATAAACACCACTAGCCAAATAATGAAATTCAAAGTAGTAGAAATACCCACATTAACCAAATGACAAACAGCAATCAGCTAACAATATCTCACGTCACTTTGGTATCTGAACTTTCTTCAGACAACTGATTCTGATACAATCTTCAGTCCGGCGCGAAAAATGGTTCATTTACAATTTCACTTAGGTTCCTTGCGTGAACGAACGTGACCTTTCGTGTATTTTGTAATTTAGTGCCGTAGTTACAGTGCGTGCGTGTAATGGCTTACTTCCCAACACCCCGGCCCACTTCACCCCCCCCTCTCCCCCGCCCCAACTGCACGTGTGTACAAGTCGTGGACTGTTTCCTCTCCGTGGGAAGCATGGGTGAGTCCGCGTTCCGAACATTTATTCCTCTTATAATATAAAATCAGGTACACGCATATCCAGGCACGTAGCAGTGCATACGCCTATTCATATCCACCACACGCACGCACACACACACACGCAACAGCCAGGTGTGCGAAAAGAAGCAGCAACACCTGCATCCTCGCGAGAAGGGAACCCGAGCCGGCGCAGGAGCGATGCATTCGCCCTCGGGACACTCGATCCTTCCCACCCGGGTCCTGCAACCCTCAGCCAACACGCCCAAGCACGCGCAGCACGCACATACATACAAACAGAAGAACTGACACTTAAACACACACACACGTACAAGCTGAGGCTTAGTGTGACATCTCGCCTACGCTGGCGGCGCAATCTTTGGGGGAATCTCGTCTATTCAGCGTGTACACGGCTGTCCGACTGCCCGAGCCACCTGTCACTCTCCTCTGCCCTCTCCGCATCTGAAGTGCCACCTCCGTCAGCCCTAAATGCAGGGCCGGGAATGTGGTCATACTCTGGCATCATAATCCCTCTCTCCTATACACAGACACATATAAATCAATTGCTCCCCCCCCCCTTCTCTCTCTCTCTCTCTCTCTCTCATACATATATATACACACACCGTCCGAACGTCCTGCGGTGACGCGAGATACCCTTATTTGCCCGGGTTATTCCTCCTCCCACCCTCCCCCGCCCCCGCCCCCTCTCGGCCCCAGAGCTTTACCTGTGCCAGAGTTTAACACGTGACCAACGTACAAGGACACGCAGGAGATAATGCTTATAAAAAGTGTACACACTCGGTGCGTATCATTTCTTTCTTCCTCTCCTCCTCTTTCATCTCTCTCTCTCTCTCTCTCTCTCTCTCTCTCTCTCTCTCTCTCTCTCTCTCTCTCTCTCTCTCTCTCGAGCACCTGCCTCGCGAAGGGGCTACGAAAGGGCGTGGTTAGGTGCGGAGTTAATTTACGGGTTCTTTAAATACCCCGCCCGTACGGCTGTCGGCGGCGGGTCGGATGGCGAGAGTACGCGCTAATATTATGATCACGTCGGCGCCAGGATCTTACTTCTCGAAGACGTCGCGACAGCAATCTCACACTCGTCCTCTCGTCCCATGACAAGATCGATTAATCACACTCCATTTAAGAATTTCAAAAGTAAACCCAGTGCAATTTACCAGTTCACTCTCACACAGCCTTATGCCAGACAGTCTAATATCTCCTTTCCGTGGTCCAGGAACT